TCGTAGTGGGGGGCCTGTCCCTACGTACACCGGTCTAGTTCTCGTTCTGGCCTTCGTAGAAGCGGGGGAGGGGGTCTACGTCCACCGGTCTGGTTACCCTTCAAGCTCTCGTAGTGTGGGTCTATGTACACCCATAGAGGTACATACCTCCATGGTACACCGGTCTAGTTTTCGTTCGGGATCTCGTAGTGGGGGAGGGGTCTACGTGCACCGTTCTGGCTCTCGTGGTGGGGGTCTATGCACACCTGTCGATGTCTCGTTCCGGCACTTGTAATGTCGGTCGGTACATGGTTCTCGTGGATATTAGTCATATTTCTTTCAGAGTCAGGAATTTATACTTCGCAGGGATTTCGCATTGATTCCTGATTGCGGTGGAGTTTAAAAAAAGAGCCCCACGCATTGATAGACATTGATATGGTTGCTTTTTGTTCTATTGTTCTCTTTGTGTGCGAATCCACCAGCTGTCGCATAGGATCCTCAATTACACGTCAGATCGTAGAGCGCCGCCTCTGGTGACACAGTGGGAGTCCAACATAGTTTTGCATATGTATTACATGTATATCAGGATTCGATTTTCCAATATTCTGGTATTTTCCAATACACTTCTGAAACACCTCACTGCACTGTTTGACATTCTAGCCATTGTCATCGTATTATATATATATATATATATAAAAAAAAAAAACACGAAGTGTGAGCAAGTATTTACCAAGACGCAATTTTCGCAATGTAATATTTTTCAAAAAACAAATTTTGACATTTTCGTCCGGGGTACTAGTATATGATCTATAAACCTTGAAACCAAGCATTCACGCCCTCAAGTGCCTAAGAAATGATCACCTACACATTTATCTATTGCCATGAAATGAACATTTGTTTTTTTTGTCTGGGAATAGAATATTTAAAGATCGATGTAATGTCAAGTCTGTCATTATAATTTATTTTATTTCCCTGGTGAAAAATATTATCGAACAATTTGTCTTCTGGTGGCATTATATTGCACACCTACGTCTGTATCCCAGTACTCGATCACTAACATAAGATCGCCGCTTACTATATATCCAGTCCAGTAACATCTAAAAATGAATCGCCCTGAATCTCCGTCTACCATGAATGCGTGTTTCCTTGCATCAAATTAGAAATCCAATTTTAAGAAAGGAAAGAAGCTTACGCATCGAATATGATTGAGGGTCAACGATTGCCCAATGAAAATCGTGCAATTACGCATCAGTTTATTGAATTCGTCCAAATATGTTACAGGTAAATCTTACACATTTTCTCATGTTAACAGACACAAGCTTACGATCAAAGCATTGCCTCTAAGCTAATTTATTAATAATTATTATTAATGCAACACATCCACACATCCGTAGTTGCGTTTATGTGGCGACAGTGATAGAGGAACTGCGATCGCGGCTAATTTGGTTTAAGTTGTGTTAGTACCTGCAATGTGGTACATGCGATCTCCGAGTGGTCGTAACCAGACAATTCGTACGGTGGAACATGAATCAAACAGTATTAACTGTACGACACGTGTTTTTTTGTTGTTCTATTTCTCTTGCCATGATATATGATTTTCACGTTGTTCATGATTTTGTAACAAGCAGAAAGCCAACTCGAAATATACCCTTGTAAGCCACAGTGCCAGGACGCGAAATTAATACACAAGAAATGGGTCTGAACTCCCGTAAATAGTCTGGAGAGTCGGCAGCACGATATTTTGCATGGAGGGGCGAGATCTGCTCACCAACCATACGCCGAAGGCGCGACCTTACTAGGGGGGAATGCTAACCCTTAAACAATTTGAAATATAGACTCTCTGAAACGCTATTTCCCTCATTTTGAGGGGCAAATTTTGCGGACACAAGGGGTTTCAGCTTGATTTTGGAGGGGCGACGCCCCCAACATTTTTTTCGATGAGCCGATCGCCCCTCTGCTTCTGTAACGGTGCAGCCGCCACTGGTCTGTGTCGAATATATATCAACATTATATGATAATGACATTCCACGTTTCGTGTCGTTTTGATCTAGAAAGTAGGTGAGGTGTAAAGGGTATACTATGGTTAGTACGTGACTCTATATCGCAACTCTAAATCGGTGTCTACGTCGCACTTTTTCAACTCCATTCGAGTTGTTTTAGAAGTTCGCTCCAAACAGTCCGTAGATTTGAAATTGCGTGACCATGATAATGTGAGATGGATGTGTACTTCGTTTTTGTTGTACATTTTAAGGTTTCGATAATGGCGAAATAAAGGCACAGCAAATTTCCCCAGATCCAAGGTGTCAAACAGTTTTGTAATCGATTCAAAATCACCGTGCTACGTAATATTGATGATTTAGCTGGCTGCGCACGAAAGTTAAAACAGTGCGTGTATGAAATATAAAAGAATGAAAGATTCATAAATTTAATGACAATATTAGAATAAAAATAAAAAGCCACCGTTCGCGTCGATTTTTGAGAACAATTTGATCAGAAGCGTAATATGCGGGCTGCGAGTGGAAAGTCATTCGGTAAATCATTTCGTACGTATCGTACGACACACCCACAATCTTAGTGTTATTCTTAACAAATCCGGGTCACTAATTCACATTTTTAGAATTATCAGAATGATATCGGCGACGACAATGTCACTGGGTCAGTTCGTATTATGGGATTCACTGTCTTTGTTTGCAACACAACAGCGTGGGAAATATTTAAGAAATTTGTTGAAATACGAGAATATGTTTTTAAAAATGCAGTATTATTGTACATGCTCAGAGTGAGCTAAATTATTCAAATTTAGTTGGGTTTCGCCGGCTCCCATCCACTTAAGAATGTCAGATTTTTTGGTCAGACATTTTTATTTTACTGTTCACCTGACGAACAAGTTGTTCACGTTAGAGTGTTAAACATGTCACAAGTAGATTTTATTTTATTTATATATATAAATTTCAGATTTATTCTTAAGTATATGTAAAGTTTCAAGCCAGGTCATGTGACTGACTGTCTCATCAATCAATCTCCACTCTAACTTTATTTTATTATATTACGGAATAAAAAGACCACGTGACAGCAGACAAAACTAAGCACAGGACCGGCTATGGACCTTCACCTCGTTTTGTGTACGATAAAACGACACAAATGGCGTTTGGAGGAACGAAATATAAATATATACATTCAAACAAACAAACCACAATTGCCATTATTGAAAAAAAATCCCACTCCAAATGTTGGTCACATGTTATATAGTGTGCATTCAGTATATAATTTCATCAAATGTAATTTGTTTCATGTAACCGAACATCATAAGTGTAATTGTCGATTTCACTCAGGTCGTATTTCTATTAACGGATGTTGGGGATGTACATAAGTCCTTGGTCGATCAGTGCGGCCATTTAAAACAATTTTAAGGTGTCACAATTGTATGAAATACAGCGGTTTATATACTAATTACGATTGTCACGAAGAAAAGGCGGAACAAGATGAATTACGGACCCCAGCATTGTTATGTTTTGGGGCCATTGTGAAACTATTGACAACAAATAATTATTTCTCGGATTCAAGGCTTTATCTGGGGGTATGCGATTCAAATCCGTCCAAATCTATGTAGTGAAAAAATTGTTTTTATGACAACAGAGAAATATGATTTTATCTACGCACACTCTGATTTGCATATAGGTTGGTTGTTATGGCGAGTGACGTTGATACCAATGCAATGTTACCCAGAATACATCACGCCTAAACGAGATAGAATGGTTACGCTTCAACTGAGCTAACTCAGCTAACATCGCGATACATTGAAAACACAAACTATTTTGCTTACTATTACTGATGTACAGGGAAGTATAATAAAAGTTTCCATGGCAATTTACTTACGGTGAAAACTATTTTGCCAGTTTTACTAGTCAACTTCTATTTTAAATACAATATAACTTTACTAAAACAAATTTAATAATTTGTAAATATGCTGTCGTATTGTATATCGCTACAATAGGGTGCGATATTTATCAAGACTAAACAACTCGTTGCGTGACGTCACATAATGATACTTTTACAGGGCATTTAAGTCAAGATATTTAATATCATTTGGTCAAAATATTTACCAAAATTGTACAACGAGCATTACAGAAATTAATTATTAAATTAAATACAACTTACTCATTGTGGCATTAATGTTTGTGGCGTGTTTTGATTTCTCGTATAACGTGACCAGTATTTGTCGCGTCCTTACCATAGCATCACGTAAGCACGAGAGACTGATAGTCGGGCACCTCTGCCAACTCCCGGAAGAACACGTAATAAAATGCTACAGCGGATAGTCACATAAGTGGTTGGATTTGCAAAATTGGGGCGAAAATTGGTATAAAATCAGTACATTGGCTCGTTTTTAGAGTGTGTTTACATTTGGCAGCAAACACCTGTTGATTTTACCAGGGGATTCATTTCACCCTGTAATGCGATAAACTGAAAGACTCATGTACTCCAACAATCTGGTATCTCCGTTTTTACGATCTCTAGTAGCATACCGTAAGCCGACGTTTAATGAGGGGGTGATGAGGGGGTAATGTCTAATGACATATATAATGACTAATATAAGAATAATATAATTAGCGATTTGATTTGACATAGTTAACCCGCAGTATATCGATATTATTATATTCTGAATTAATTTCATTATTTTGATGTTTTGAGCATAATCATTGTTTTAATTTCACGAATTTGTCAAGGAAACAATGAGTTTTACTGTTATTTTACATGTTCACGTTGATTTAATTTTGCGGACTTTACCTATCAAGGTAATAGCGAAATTAAAATCCAGTGAATAATTAACACATTTACAGTGCCTGTACTTTGAGGAGCGCCACAAGCGACGATCCGCTTTTGTGAGGTTAAAACGCTGTCGATGAATGAAAGTAAAAATCGTTTAAATCTACACCGTTTTGCAGCCGTATGTCATTTAAAACAAAACACTATATTGATGCATGACTACTGATTAAAACAAGAAGGATTCAACCACTTACCTCACAAGTACAAGTACTGGCGCCATTACAGGCGCCAAACTTTCCATTTTCGATTTCTGCCTACTTGCAAATCATTACACCAGATTTAATACTTCCATACTCACTAGGCGGATATCTTGGACAGTTTTCTCTCAGACTAGTTAATGTTATGCTCATGTTAATGCCATACGTTGTCATAGTTTTTTAAACACATTTTAAACTTTTTTTGATAAAAATAACCAGCTCAAATGTTTTGACATTTGCTTTGGTGTATTTCTATTCCCATTTGATGCCAACTATCAGCACAGTTTTTAAAATTGTTATTTTCGACTCATTCGTGGAAATCATCAACCCGATCGCGATCGCTTTTGACTATCAGGATTAATGGGTAAAACTGCAATTGTTTTTTGTTTAGCTTTCACCATTTCCTGCTAATATCCACAGTTTTCTATCGTTTTTAATTATCTTCATTTACTGTATTCATGGAACGATTAAGATAACTTTACACAATAATCGACTTGGTGTTTGTAATAGAATTTGTTAAGGTTTACACGTACGCGCGTTAGTTTGGTGTCATCTACTACCGAGTCCACTCCCAACGAGACTATACCCCGTGCCGACCCACCAGTCTCCTTGCTAAGCGTATAACACGTAATGATGCGCCACATGCCAACACGACTGCAAAGAAAACAGTTGTAGTCTCTGTTAATTTGCATCCTACTTTTATCAAAACATTATTGCCTAGAGCTTTGATAGTTGTATTAAAACAAACTTGTACGCACGTTTTCTACAACTTAGTGTATGTTATTGGGGTGAGCATGGAATCAATATATTGAACGACTGGGTCTGTGAATTAACACTACACTATGTGAGCACAATGGCTACATTGTCACAAGTTGTATATGCGAGTTCTATAAAACTGCCGATGCATTTATATACATCGAAGCGTCAGCGTTAACAGATATACGTAGCAATGAGATTCGCCAAATACTCAAATTAGAAGTTGATCACTAGAAAGTCTGGAGGCAATAGTGATATTTGAAAAAAAAAATCTTCAGGGAAAGTTATTGAAAAAAATATTTATAAAAATCAAATCTCACACATACTTGAAAAAAAGAAAGACAATAACTACGGCAACATCATTGTGAATGTAGCCTGAAACAGTGGGGAAAAACAATAATTTGTATAATACTCCCCCCTTCTAGTGTTTCCAATGGTCAGCCACTAATCTAAACAATAACATCTCTTCTTGTCACCTAACATGTATGACAAGCCGCCCAGACAAATATAATGGAATATTTAACATATTGTATGACAAAAATAATCGAAATTTCGCGATATTTTTGTGCATTTCTTGAAGTGGTCCACTTGGAACACCCTGTTACTAGGTGATATCCGTGGTTGCATTTTAAGGATTGGCGATACAGACACAGAGGGCGCTGTATTGTTCTGTCTTCCCATACTCAGTTTGCGGTTATTTTGTATCAATGCGAAGACTGAATAAAAGTTGTCGCGTAGGTTTTAAAATATTATTTATAATAACGTCAAATTTCCATAACTACGTCATTACAATAATCATGCGAATTCCTGAATACTACGGTCTCACAACAAAATATTTTATGGAGACACAGTTTTATTAATGTTTAAAAAATACAAAATGTTAAAACAATATTCTACGTAAAAATTCCGCATTTTAAAACAAAGAATCAGTGATGCTGGGTTTGTGAGAGATTACAAGTGGGACTCCTCCAGTAGCTGCTGCTTGTAGTAGTCAGTTACTGTACAATCATGTGGCTTCTTTTGCTTCTCATACCCATGGTGGCCGCTGGTACGCCATGCAACCCAGAGGGATTCTGTGACTATTTTGAAAAGTAAGTTGTTATTTTTACGACAAATTTCATCACGTAACGTCAGCATTTTATATCTTAAATGTCTGCTAGTTTGTAGTACAGACGTGAATTTTCAATCAGTTTTACTGTGGGTTTGATTTTGTACGTGGATATCGCGATGTCAAAGTTGTACTCTCACATTCACCACCATAGACAGCTTACGGCAACTGTACAATATGAACAACGGCTTTAAAACGGCTGGTGTCGTTTTCCATTGCGCGTACAATTAAAATATCTTTCCAAATGAACTTATAGAAAGGATTTTTTTTAAATATGCCCTTCAAACAATTCGGTTTTGTTAAACGCGTCACATACATATATACGTCGCTATAAGTGACTTCGCAGCAGTTCAAGTACAGCATTTCAATCAGACGGGCGTGATGGATGAGATGGGGTTGGCGTTGAAGGAACGGGTGTGATGGATGAGCTGGGATTGGTGTTGACGGGACGGGCGTGGTGCACGAGATGGGGTTGGTGTTGACGGGTATGATGGACGAGATGGGGTTGGTGTTGATGAGACGGGTGTGATGGACGAAGCGGTGTTGGTGTTGACGGGACGGGACGGGCGTGATGGATGATATGGGGTTGGCACTGATGGGACGGGTGTGATGGACAAGATGGGGTTGGCGTTGACGGGACAGGCGTGATGGACAAGATGGGGTTGGTGTTGATGGGACGGGCGTGATGGTCGAGATGGCCGAGATGGGGTTGGCGTTCATTGGACGGGTGTGATGGACGAGATTGGGGTTGGCGTTGATGAGACGGGTGTGATGGACGAAGCGGGGTTGGTGTTGACAGGACGGGACGGGCGTGATGGATGAGATGGTGTTGGCGTTGACGGGACGGGCGTGATGGACGAGATGGGGTTGGCGTTGACGGGACGGGCGTGATGTACGAGATGGGGTTGGTGTTGACGGGACGGGCGTGTTGGAAAAGGCGTGGTTGGCGTTGATGGGACGGGGTGCGATGCACGAGGCGGGTTGGTATTGAAGGGACGGACTTGATAGACGAGGCGGGGTTGGTGTTGGTGGGACGGGCGTGATGGACGAGATAGGATTGGCGTTGATGTGACGGATGTGATGAACGAGGCGGTGTTGGTGATAATTGCACGGGGTGCGATGGGCGAGGCGGGGTTGGTGTTGATACATTGTGCGATGGGCGAATCGAGAGGTTGGTAATAATAAAACAGGGTGCGGTGGACAAGGGATAACTATCAGTATATAAACTAATAACAGTCTAAGAAAAAGGGTTTTTCAAATTATGTAATTCTTCAAAATTGTTATACCCTTTCAATGACATACTTGACAATCCATGACCAGACAATATCCTCGTTCGCAGATGTGGATTGAAAATCAAATTCAATTTTTCCCGATATTTTTGCACATACATGTATATATCACTCCAACGACATATTTTTTTTTTCAGTCATCGGTTCTTTGGTTTAGTGTGTGTTCGAAGTTTCATTCCAATCGACAAATTTGTTTTCAAATACACAGTTTAGGAAATCCCCAATGTGACATTATTCTACAGTATACTTCAGCTGACCGTGTCCCCGAATAATAACAATAGCAACCATAACACACTGAGACTAATATTCCAATTAACAAGCATCTTAAAATTGATTGATGACGACGCAGTAGTCAAATCTATTTTTCTTTAATTACTCTAAATTCTGGTGACCTCATTATTCAATATATATATATTTTTTTCAATTAGGAAAAGTTTTTGCGGTATGCTGTCAGTCTGATTTTATTAACATTTTCAATGAATGGTATATTATTAATCACATGACTATAAGAAGGTTCCATCTGATGTAATATAAATGTTCATTATTACCAGCGGTAATTAATGCAAATCGCGCTCAGGTCAAACCTCATACTTGTGATTTCTATTATCAGAGCGCATAGGATTGTGGGAAAATCATTGTTTATCAACACAAATGTCGCACATGCGTGGCGCGACGACTACCGCCCTTTAGAAATACGTCACAAAAGGGTTTCCCAATAGAGGCGCAGTGTGTCGTATGTATTTTAATATTATACAGAGGACATGCTAACACTTGATTGCACGTTCAGTGAGTGGATAAAACATTGACTAATAGTACATTTCATTTTTGGGATTTATTTTAAAAAGTATATTAATATTTATTTATTTATTTATTTATTTATTTATTTATTTATTTATTTATTTATTTATTTATTTATTTATTTATTTATTTATTTATTTATTTATTTATTTATTTATTTATTTATTTATTTAAATTGATTGAATGTCGACTCAATAACTGACTGTTTGTTTGTTTACAGAATAACAGAAACAGTTACAGATCAGATAACTATATTTCGATGGGAAAAATATGAAGTACCCTGTGGTTACCAGGACCAGGATAGATGTGCTCGATACAGGTTTGTGCTCATGCTCCACAATTACGCACTAGCGTCGATTAGAATGTATTTCCAGCAGAACATTGCATTGAAAACACAGTGACAGATCAAAATACAAACACACACATACATACATAATTTGGAACCGGATTCGAGCGCAGATTCGAGCCACTAACGCACTGCAGCTTTACTTTCATTCAACATCATATTTACTATGCCGTGTATCTGATGTTACGTTCTTACTCTGATATGTGCTGTTTTAACTGCACAATTTAGACCTGTTTACACTGAAGAAAACGGCGAAGTGACTCAAACCGATACGAGACGTAAACGAGATTGCTGTGAAGGATATGAGAAACAAGCAGGCAAATGTGAACGTGAGTAAAACAAAGATATATACAAACACCATTACAGTCATCAGATCCCCTTGAATGTTTAAATCTACTTTTATCTGTTCATGGGACACAGATCAAATGTACTATGATTTTGTTACCAAACTAATTTTTTCAAAAAACCCAATAAAAAATGTACATTACTGTGGGTAACATGCGATAACAATCACGTGTAATTATAATATGGGTTTTTATGGTTCTCGTGAATGATTATTAATATATAATATTCGAAAGCATAATATGTAGCTTTCATGTATATAGGTATCTCACCAAAACCCTTCCATCGTGTAGCTTTCATGTATATAGGTATCTCACCAAAACCCTTCCATCGTGTAGCTTTCATGTATATAGGTATCTCACCAAAACCCTTCCATCATGTAGCTTTCATGTATATAGGTATCTCACCAAAACCCTTCCATCATGTAGCTTTCATGTATATAGGTGTCTCACCAAAACCCTTCCATCATGTAGCTTTCATGTATATAGGTATCTCACCAAAACCCTTCCATCATCTAGCTTTCATCTATATAGGTGTCTCACCAAAACCCTTCCATCATGTAGCTTTCATGTATATAGATGTCTCATCAAAACCCTTCCATCATGTAGCTTTCATGTATATAGGAGTCTCACCAAAACCCTTCCATCATGTAGCTTTCATGTATATAGGTATCTCACCAAAACCCTTCCATCATGTAGCTTTCATGTATATAGGTATCTCACCAAAACCCTTCCATCATCTAGCTTT